TTGATATGGTACGATATAATTAATATTTTTTATCATTCATTCATATTCAATTAAAAAGGTGTTTTTCACCAAGAGGGCACCAAAAGGAGCTTCATAGGACCGTTATGCTGAGACAAAACTGTTTCATTTTATCATCATTGAAACACACAGCAGCTTGATTAAACTGCTTCAAAACCATCAATGTTGAAATTCTGTATTATTTAATTTCTCGATGAGTCAACTTAAACTAATTTTATGCAATATCCAAATAGCATATAATCAAATAATGAAGAGTTTGGAGAGGCTGATCTCTGCGTATTCAATACTTGGATTCTCATCGCATGAAATGTAGCGATTTATTTATTTATTTAAATTATGAAATTACTTACTATGAAATACGCTAAGTTAGTAGTTGTGTGGAATTTATTATGTACAAGTAAACATACTTTTAGTACATACACGTTTTTGGTTTTAATTTATTGTAGTGCTAAATTGAGAAATATTTTTCCAATTGGAAAATATTTTTGGCTGCTGTGATATCGAGCTACAACTTGGATATAGAGCAAGCTGTTTCAAAAACATCAATGTTGAAATTCTGTATTATGTTAAGAGCGAATGGTCAAGTCATGAAGGATGCTGGCAAGCCATTCTAGAATGGCACACCAAAGCATTTAAAGATCCTGAGAAAGTGGACACCGTAATTTATTCACGTGTTGCTTCTAGATGAATGGGCGTGCTTTATCTTTTTCAAAATGATACTCAAAACTTTTTTTTTTTTTTTTAATGGCGATGAGCTTCAAAACGAATCCCAAGTTGGTTAGACTGTTTACTGAGTAATTTGACTGGCACTACCACTGATTATGAACATGATTCAGAAGTTGGATTTAAATAAAAATGAAAATTAATAATAAAGACTTTGAATGATATAAAAAGCATCTATATTATTTTAGTTTTGTATAAATGATTTACTTACATATGAAATGAAATAAAGATCCTGAGATTGCGGACACCATAATATATTTACGTGTTGCTTCTAGATGAATGGCAATGCTTTATCTTTTTGAAAATTTAAATTTTTTTGAGACTATACTTAAAATGTAAAAATAATAAAAATATATTAAAAAACATATTTTTTAGATTTTTGTTGTTTTTCACTATTTTTAAATTTTCACTATTTTTCATTATTTTTAATTTTTTTGAATATTTTATAAAAAAAGATGATTTAAAAATTATATAACAACACGCATAGAGCTATTGCACTTTAAAAATCTTCTTTCTTCTCTCTAATGTACTCTTTTTCTCCGTCAACAGTGCAAACTTCTCTTTCTCCCTCTGCTCTGAAAGCTTCCCCTACTGCTGCCGCGCATCCCTAGACTTTTCCTTCCCCTTTGTTTTTGAATCTTCCCTTACTACTGTTACACAACCTTCCCTTGCTGTTGTTGTTATGACTCTCTCTCCATAGAGGCTTTAGTTGTTTTTTATTGGCTTTCATGTTTCTAAAATTAACAAATTATTATTTATTTTATCTCTGGGTAATGAAATTTTTTATCTTCTAATTTATTTTAATAATATTATCTTTATTGAAAGTAATTTAGTCTTGCTTCACCAATTGATTCAGTTGCTAAACCCAAAGTTTAAGTTTCAGAATTTAAAAGTTGTTCATTATTTTTTGACCATTAAGGTTTATCTTAATTGTCGATACACGACATTGCACGATGATTCCACTTTTATTATTTAACAAAAGGATTAATCAATTAGGAGAAATGAAGATTTTATTTTAGTAACTATTTAGTAATCTGAGTGAAATAGAAATTCTTAATTAGAACTGGTCCCGAAGGTTCAGGTAATAAGTTAGTTATGATTAAGGAAAAGTAGATACTATAATTAAAATATCATTTTAAGAGAAAAGTTACTTTTACTTGTGTGTTTTTTATTTGATTCAAATGCTATTACATTTTGAGTTTATTTGCAATTTGTTTTTAAAGATGATTAATGTCAATCCTTAAAAACAGGAGACACGTTAAAAAATAACATCAGTCCCTAAAAATTAAAAACTCTTCCAAAATATCAATGTTTAACCATAAAGAGGAGAGTTACGTTCAAGTTACCAAAAAGAGAAATAACAGACATAATTCATATTTGGTATTTTAACTTTTGACTTTGGTCAATTTCTGTAAAAAAGAGACGTGTCAACAAATAATGTTCTATAGGAGACACGTAAAAAACAAAAAAATGACATCAGTTCTTAAAAATAGAAGACTCGTATAAAATATTAACGTTTAACCCTAAAAAGAAGAGTTACCAAAAGAAATAATAGACATAATCCATATTTGGTATTTAAACTTTTGACATCAGTCATTTTCTAAAAAGAGATGTGTCGACAAACAATGTTCATTCAAAAAAATTATCTTGGTATCGTTGAGAAATTGGTATAACCATATTTGAGAATTGAGATTTGGACCCACGAATGATGACATGATAAGATGGGTGTTAGACTTGCATCATTATTTTTTAGATTTATTTTGGTTTTTGTTTTACAACATTCAAAGAAAATTTTACAAGTACTTATATATAAAAAAAATTAAATAAATACCATTAGGAATCCCAAAAATTACCTGAGTGCCACCGTATAGGTAAAAGACTGAAATACCCTTGAATTTCTCAAAAAATTATGAAAATACCCCTAATAACTCATGTATCCCATGCGTGGTCATTGTTGGAGGGGGTGAAATTCTTTGGCGAGGTTCCCAGCCAAAAAGGGTTGATTCTGGTAGATTTAAGGGTGAGGATTCTGATAACGGTGGTTTTAATGGCCGTTAATGGCTAATAAGAGAGAATCGATGGTTGAAGAAATCGCAACCTTTTTCTAGCCAAATGGGGCAGAGAAGGCGATGAAAACCGCCTGGATTTTGCTTTAAAGGAGGCGATTAATCTTTCTGTAGTGGTTCAGAGGCTTTAAGTAATTGGAGGTGAGAGATAGAATCGCTGGCAGGAGGAGAGAAAGAGCCTCCAATATTTGCTAAAGTATGAATGTTAGCATGATAAACCGGTGCAGCTGAAGGTTTTGAACTATTGGATGACGGATGAAATGATCCTTTGACTGTGGTTGGTTTCATCTACAAGTTGATCGGACGATCCAGATGGACTGAGCTTTGTTGTAGTGTGGTGAGATGCAACGATAGCTTGGTACATCGGATGACGTGGCACGACAGAATTGAAAGGTAGATTGTTTTAAAGGCTAAGATGGATTTGAGTTTTAATCTAGTATAATAAGCCCTATCAGATCCTTTTAAATCAAAGGTCCAGAACTGAATACTATTTGATCTAAGGGTGATGTCTTTGGAAGTAAAAATTTTATCTTTGAGAGTACTAATAAAATTTGAACTAGAAGAAGCTGAATTAGCTAAAGTGAGATATAAGCAGCTAAACATGATAAGTGAGAAAAGGTTGGCTATAATTTGCCATCACCAGCTATACTAAAAAAGGATGGCCAAAGCATATGACCGAAAAGTCCGATCAAGAGAATTTAAAGCATATGACCGAAAGATGCAGTTGACTTGAGAAAAATATATTTTTTAATTTTAAATTTTTTCTTAATTTTTGGATTTTTATGAATAATAATAGAAATGAAATAACATTTGAGAAAATCTTGGTGAATCCAAAATTAAGGTATAACATTAATATTGTGGGTATCATGCTCTAGTAAGATAGATATATTCTCGACATCCTTCATCGGGCATATATATCTTCTTGTAAGTCTGTTGATACTCTTATTTTTATATCAAAGGTTGCTAAAGTGTTTGATTGCTTGTTTTTTGTTCCTACACAATTTTGATAAATTTTTGGTGTTCTTCAATATCTCATTTTGATGAGACTAGATATTTGTTTTGTTGTTAATAAAGTCTATTAGTATATGCATGCTTCTGAAGATGCATATTAGGTTGTTGTTAAATGCATTATGCGTTATCCTAAGGGTACAATTTCCTTCCATCTTCATATCAGTCATAATTCTTCCTCTTCCTTGCATGTTTTTACACGTGTTGATTGTGTTGGTAGTGTTGATGATCATAAATCTACAGATAACTATCTTATTTTTCTTAGAAATACACTGATATATTCAAAGTCAAGGAAATAACGCATTATGACTCGTTTTTCTACTGAGGCCAAATATGAAGCCTTAACTTATGGCACTTCTGAGATCATATAACTTCAACATTCATTGTTAGATCTACAAATTTCTTTTTTTGTGCCTAAGATTTGGTGTGATTATATGGATACTACTTCTCTACAAAACCTATCTTTAATGCTCGTACTAAACATGTTGAGATTGATTATTATTTTATACATAATAGAGTTGCTATATAGACCATTCAAACTCACTTTATTTCTTCCAATAATGAGTTTGCAAACGTTTTTATAAACCTTTCTCCATTACTTCTTTTACTACTCTTAAGTTCAAGCTTCGAGTTAAAGCCCTACCCTCAACTTGAGAGAGGGCGTATTATAGTAG